TATTTTGTCTATATAATTATGATATCAAACATAGAATTATAACTTATTAAAACAAAAGGTAAATACAATATCAAAATTGTTCTCCACTTGGGTTTTAAGATGTCAAGATTCAATAAGATTTTACATAATAACATAGTTTACATTGAACATAAGTTTTACAACTGATTTGTTTTTGCTGTAGGTACAAGAATTAATTGTACATAAAGAACCAGGATTATTGGATAACTTTCTTGAGGTAAGATTGTACATTATATAATGACACCTACATGTTACAGTAATTAAATCTGGAAGTTTACATATATACTATTTCAACAACTTCTGTAAAGGAAAGAAACTAGAAGCATCAATAGAAGCAGTATTGACTTCATTTAAATCTCCTGTCATAAAATTGAATTTCAAAGTCAGCCAGCCGAAAAAATAATATCCAGTGTGCCTTATCGAGTTTGCATTTACCGGTAGTTTAAATTGAATTTTAAAAATAATGTAGGAAACATAAAACAATAGGATACTGCACTTTTACTAAGAACAATGAGCTTACATTGATTTTTACTTTATACCTCTGCTTACTGAAGCTAAATGTAATGATTGCATTTCTTTGTCCAACTACACTTTATATCTGTAACTTCTCCGTAACCAGAGACAGGATTTTATCGAAACTTTTACAAAATCTTTATGTCTTTATGCAACTCTTCATTTTATTTGTGGATTCAAATTGTTTTAGCGGTTTCCCTAGGAAAACATGAAATTTGTCATGTCTTCAAAAGAGGGAGTGGGGATACAAGATTGTTAGCTCAGTCCTACAGTTTTTATTAGTTTCAGCTAAAGAAACTGTTTGATTATAATGAATAAGGTTTTAATGTATGAAATTACAGTGTTTTCTGAAACTTTAAAAAAAAATATTTTATAATCTACTTTAATTATGACTTAATATTTGATTTCTACATATAAAATGTATGATTGCCAATGAGACAACTCTCCACCAGAGACCAAATGACTTAGAAGTTAACTATAGTTCATCATACAGCCTTCAACAATGAGCAAACCCACACCACATAGTAATTTATAAGGGGCCCCCAAATGACAATTGTAAAACAATACAAATGAGAAAACTAACTACCTGATTTATGTTTACAACATTTAACGAAAACAAAAATGATATACATGTTTCCCTCTTGTGGTTGACAGGAAATGCTAGCATTCCAGAGTGATAAAGGAAATGAAGTCAGGAAGTTTATTGTCAGCTTTATTGAAGAAGCATGGTTTGTACCATTTCAAAAATTAAAATTTGATTTAAAATTTGTTGTACTTTACTCTTTTTTTTTTGGAGTAAAATTTTAGTAAGAAAAATTTGCTACTTTTTGGCAAAATTTATTTAACCACATAACTTGAATGCACCAAAGAGTATAAGATTTGACATGATTATGTAGTGTGATATGAATAAGCTGAACATTATTCTATTCATAAACTGGTCTTACTATACTTTAACTACATATAAGGCAAAATATAATTTGATCAGTACTGTTGATAAACTCAGCAATTGATCAATTGATCAATTATATTGTTATTAGATTTAACATGCATTATCATTCATCAGAAACTTAATTTGTTTTTGTCTATGAAATAGAAATATGTAATATAAGTCAACAGAATTATTTTTTATGTAGTAAAAAGGAACCAGATTTATTAGGGAAATGTATGCCGTGTCTACAAGTGTTACTGCAGGATGAGAATGTGAATGTTCAGAAGAAGACCATCCTGGTACTACCTAACATTTATAGGACTATTGTATGGTGGCTCATCAAATCTAAGCCAGGGAATGATGAAGAGAAGTCCTTTGTATGGGAGTCTATGAAGGCAATGAAAAATAAGATGTATGAACTAATAGATTCAGAAAATGATGGGTAAGCTATCATATTTTTCCTTCAGATAAAAGTGTATATTGCAATATTTACCAAAGAAAACTTATTTTCAGTACCGCTAATACCTATAGAAACAAGTAGGGATTTTATTTCTTATTCAACATACATTGGAATTTTTTTCTCATCATACATAATAGAAAAAAAAAATGATACATCTAGAAATTTTGGATTTTTACACAAAAATACTAGATAAAACAGAATGTTTGATAATTTTGCACTAGAATAGAAATAACCATACTGTATTTTAAGCTTGGCCTACAAAAAACTTAGTTTTACTGTTGCAACTTCACAATGGTGGGATTATCTATCTGACCCATTGTTGCCTTAAGAATATAGCAACAACGGACATTTCCATGGGCTTGCTTTCCGACTGATTATTTCCTGAGAATGATGAATGAAACTGAATGATGTTAAATAACGTCATTTTAATTTAAACACAAAATCAAATAGAAACGTTTTAGTGCCAACAAAGCAATTTATTTTATTTACTTTCATCAGACAGAAGTTTTGATTCAAAATGCAATATTGGCTTATGTAAAGAACCTCAAACCAGACAAGATAATCTTTTAGATTGTATTAAGGTCCTCATACTACATGTATGGCAACAAACATTTTTTTGTCATATACTTGACCCATTTACTGTGGTTTTCAAAGATTTTGCTATATAAGATATTTTTCTGCTGTTAAATTAACAAATTCAAGTAAAAAGTACAGAGCATGAAATGGTAGAACTTGCAAAATGTGGAACTTATATTTTGAACAGTAGACAATTTCTAACTTTATTGCTTTTATTTCAGAATAAGAACACATGTTGTGAAGTTCTTTGAAGGTTATGTTTTAGCTTTATCAAGGAAAACATCTGTAAGTCAATTTTATTTCTCCTGTTACATTTTCTTCTTGGTATTATATACTCATTTTTGTTTTTGATTTAATCTCTTCTCCGCCAAGCATGCAGCATTTAGGATAAAGAGCATAGACTGGTGGTTAAGAGTCTGTGCAATGTTTCTGGCTATAGTGATATGTCTTCCTGACAACTGTTACCTTGTAAACTACATGTAGCACAATGAAAATCTGGAAGTTCAGTAACTAATAACAGGGATACTAGGACTAAAGCTTTAATCATAGTATGTTGTTAGAACAACATATGTGCAATAAAGGTTGAAAAAAAGAAAAGTTTGAACAACTACCTTGAAGAAGTCAGTGTGCAAAACTTCTTTTAATAAATTAAATTCATCAAAGACTTTTAATCTGAAATGTTATGATAAATATGGTGTAAATTTCTACCAGGATGCTTAAGTAGTACCCCAAAATCTCTAGGTTTTGACGTCGAGTACAATCTTAAATAACAGTAATAGCCCATACCATATATAAATTCTTAGACATCAAATATATGTATGCCATGTTTTTTTCTGAGAAGATATAACAGGTACTGTAAATAGGGTAGAGCCTTCATTGACTAAGACTGTAAATATATAAATACCAGCAGGAAATCGCGAATTCAAAGCTGTGCAAATTTAAATCCTGTCGACAAATCTCTTAACGAAAGAAGGAGCAAAAATTTGTCAGTTTACAGTATCTAATTTAAGTTATTTATAGAATCCCTTAGAAGTTAGAATCTTCAAATTTGTTATTGACAGAACAGTGAATGTACATGAATCATCTAGTAACATAGACATCAGGCAAGTGAGTCCCCTTCAACTAAAAATTTAAGCTTAACCTCATTTTTATGCCGCACCCTCACCGGAGGGGGCATTAAGTGCTACCATTGTCGTCCACCCGTATGTCCATAAGTACATAGATCCCAAAATTGGTTTCCGTTCTTTTACTTAAGTTGGCTGCAACCACATGTTATATAACTTATACACATTGCTTATTACCACAAAACACAGATCAAATGTCGAATGTGGGTGGCGTCACTTTTAACGTTCTAGAGTTATGCCCCTTTACAAATGGGTTTCTGTTCTCTAACTTTAGTTTGCCTCAACCAAAAGTTATGCAACTTATACATAATGCTTATTACCACAAAACTCAGATCAAGTTCAAAATTTGGGTGGCATCACTTTTACTGTTCTTGAGTTATGTCCCTTTATAACGTTATATGCAAGCGTGGGCATCCTCTGTGTCCCATTGGACACATCCTCCAACTATTTAATTCATGCCTTGTTTATTTCATAGGAATCTGAAGTACCTAAAGGTATGAAGCCTGAGAAAGCCCTCACTTTAGATGATATACCTAATGAGCATAAGTTTCTGAAGTTAAAACGTTTAGAAGAGGAAGGAGCTAAAGGATTTGATATCATGTTGAGGTTCCAGGCTTCTCCTCATATCTCTAGGTAATTGTATATAAAAAATGTCACCTTTGATTTAATAGAGTAAAAGACCACGGTACATTTAGAAGAGTACTCAGGAATATTCTTATGTTTCATATTTCAAAGGTTCTTCAATTAGCTGTGAACAGAGTAATTGGTAGAAAATGTTCAAAGACTCAAAATTATAAACTTACTTTAAATCAATTAGTAGCCTGTCATAAAACTTAACTATATCCTACTAGTAGCCAGCCATCAGCTGAAATTGAAATATGTGTATAGGAAACTGCAATGAAACTTGCTGTATTTGTTACAGGCCTTTGGTTAAAATGTCATGTTAGTGTACACAAAATTAGTTATTTTATGATTTTTAAATATTCCTAATCTTTATATTGTTGATCATGTTAAGATCAAGGTACAGTGAATTTATCAAATTTTTTTTTTTTTTCACATATGATATGTTAAGTAATAAGAGGGATTAGTGCATTATATTTTCAAATTTGAAATATTCATTAATTCAAATCTTTGATTTGAAACTTCGAACATTCTAAAGTTGTAAACACTCATAAAAATCTATGACTTTAACTGTAAGAATATTGGTTCATTAACTGTTTATTATTTTTCAGTATAAATTTAATGACTGTAATGGGAAGTATTACAACGATTGCCAAACAACGACCTGATTATTTTAGTAAAGTAGTACAAGCTTTTGAAGCATTACAAGGTATGGTTTAATATCTTTGAAGCATTACAAGGTAAGGTTTGATAACTTTGAAGCATTACAAGGTATGGTTTGATATCTTTGAAGCATTACAAGGTAAGGTTTGATATCTTTGAAGCATTACAAGGTATGGTTTAATATCTTTGAAGCATTACAAGGTAAGGTTTGATAACTTTGAAGCATTACAAGGTATGGTTTGATATCTTTGAAGCATTACAAGGTATGGTTTGATATCTTTGAAGCATTACAAGGTATGGTTTGATATCTTTGAAGCATTACAAGGTAAGGTTTGATAACTTTGAAGCATTACAAGGTATGGTTTGATATTATCCTAGATGATATCTGATGTGATCAGTTGTTAATATGAAGTAGGAAATTTTCTCAAAGGGGTCATATTTGTAAATTTCACAATTAACATAAAAATGTGAAAATTTCCTTTCACATAAATTTGATCTTCATGAAAGGTCATAGTTAAGGACAAGAAAAAAGCGAAATAAAACCTCAGGAAACGGTTTTTCATTCGCAATCATGAAATTTAAACCCAGCAAAACCAAACCACTTAACTGAAATCTATTTTGAATTGCATGTGGTCAGTTTATTAGGCTAGGTTTATCTCATCTGCTTGTGCTGTCTATTTGACTGTAAACAGCTCTTTATTCATATAGTGCTCTCATTCTGAACACTTCAAAGTAAAACAAACAGTCATCTTGATTAAAATTCAAATTGACAAATTTTCAATAAATTACATGAACATATGTATAAAAAAGTTCTTTCAGTAAAGAATGTGAACAGTTGCAGAGAAATGCCATTCTATCTCACGGCCAGTATTCAGTGGATTAAACTCATTTGATTGATTGAATTTTGATGTTAAATGTCACAAATTGATCTAAATGTGCTTGAGAAAAAAATAATAAAATTATCCTGCACTTTTTGAACAAATGTTCAAAATACAATGGCACTGGTATTGACTCTTATTCTGATAGTTAATATAGGCTTAAGTGTAACAAAAAGAAAGGATATGGTGTATTAATGCATCAATTTTATTGCTGTTCTTCATCTCAAAGTCATATATTTTTAATATTACTTGACAATTAATCATTCAATTAAAGTTATATTATCCAATAGACGACTAATGATATCATAAAACTTACAACAATGAAGACCTATACAACTGTTTGGTAATTACATATGTGTATTTATATTTGTAGTAAATTTACCTCCCACACTTGCCAAATCTCAAGTTAGTAGTGTGAGAAAGAATTTAAAGATGCATATGTTGTCTTTATTAAGACATCCAGCTTCTCAGGACTATATTCCACAGATAACAACATTGCTGACTGATCTAGGTGCAACAAACTCTGAGGTAAGTTGTGTAAGCTTTACCTATCCTCTTTGATGTTGTCTTTACTAGGGCATGTAGCTTCACAGGACTACATCACACAGATTACAACACCGCCACTAAGTCTGAGCAAGTAATTAAGCATTATATTTCCTGTTTAACTTGTATGAGTTGTAAATAAAAACTTTCAAAAATTCTTTTGTCTCAAAATTTACTGAATCTGTGCAATACTATCTGTACCTATATCAACAATATCAGAAGTTATTTGTCTTTTCTGTAACATTGACGTATTTTTTGGTTTGACAAGTTTGTACATTTTATAGCGAAAAGGCTATTTTTTCATTTGAAATTTCAGCATAAAAATAAATCCTATGTGACAGATTATTATAACTTTGCTAATAAAATTTAGTACTACAAACTCTCGGGTCGAAGTTAACGTGCAAAACTTTTCAGTGCTATCATTGTATGTTCTAACACATATTCAATGAGTTGCTGATACCTAAAGTTGTTTAATGAAATTAAAATTCTTTATTTATTTTCACAGGTGATGAAAAGTATGCCAAAGATAGATGAAAGTAGAAAAAGGAAAGCTGAAGAGGCATCAGCACCTGCTAAAAAAGCTAAAGTAGAGGTAAAAAGGCTTAGTAGAGGTTAAAAGGCTTATTGAAGGTAAAAAGGCTAAACTAGAGGTAGTCTATTGATAAAAAGTGGCAAGGTAAAAAGGCTAAGTAGAGGTAAAAAGGCTAAAGTAGAGGTATTCTTTTGATCAAATATGGCAAGGAATTTTTCATGTATCTGATTAAGAAAAGATTAGTGTGCCTCCTGGTGAGATTTCAGTTGTAACTTCAAAGTGTCAAATGTTAGTGAAATTAACCTTTAGATATAACAAGTGGTCTGTGTAGCTGATTAAATGTATCCAGGATGTCAGCATCTTATCATAATATTAATTATATTGGAAACTGGAATGCCTGTTAGTATAAACAAAATAGAAACTTGATATTTATATCTTGCAATCACTTTTTCATAATTCAATTAATGACTCTAAAACATTCAAATCTTATGCAGAAAATTGTATTTTGTCTCCAAACTGTAACTCTTAATATTTTTAAAAATACTTGTGTTAGTCCACTTTACGTTGAGTGCAAACATTGTTCAATTGTCCGTCCATTTTACATTGAGTACAAGTGTTGATCAATTGTCCGTCCACTTTACGTTGAGTTCAAACGTTGTTCACTTGTCCGTCCATTTTACGTTGAGTACAAATGTTGTTCAATTTTCCGTCCACTTTACGTTGAGTACAAACATTGTTCAATTGTTTGTCCACTTTACATTGAGTAAAAGTGTTGTTCAATTGTCCAAATATGTTTATTGTAGATTGAGCAAGAAGAGGATTACTTGACAACTCCATTTGTAGAGAGGGGTACCACCTCTGTTCTTAAACAGAAACCAGCAGATTTACAACATACAGCTATTGATATTACCTCCAATGATTTATATGAGAGATTGACACCACACAATGTTGCTGATTTGGTTCTGATTAGTATGGTTATGTTACCAGAAACAATGCCGGCACATTTCCAGTCTACGTATACACCTATAGCAGCTGCAGGAACAGAGGCACAGAAGAAACATATGGCTAGGCTATTAGCCACACAGCTGACTACTGCAGGCATGGGAAAAGGAATTCGGGAAGTACAGAAACAGGTTGGTATTCACTTTTGATATATGTATTTAGATTTATGATAAAAGTTTTTCTTTTAGATTGGTTAATATTGCTTGAGAGAATATGCCAGTATAGGATTTGATGTTGATGGCAGATTGTTAGTAGTCTTTGTTGTTTTGTCTGACAGCATCCAGCTTATGAAACTCATAGAGATCATTTCTGTTGTCTAGCTTCATAGTTGTCTGTGTCACATTTTCTTAATTACCCAACTAATTAAAAATAGTTTGACAGAATTCAACTAAACTTGCACAGATCCTTTTACAGGTAACACAGTTAAATTATTTCTGCTTATATTATTTGGAGAGAATAGGAACACACATCTTCCTTGAAAAACTCAACTAAGTTTACTTCACAACTTGTCAATGTTCATTGTGATTTAGAGCTTGACTGGTATAAATTTTGTCTCATATTGGCCTCTAGATGTTATCTGGTTTTTTTGTGTAACTGTTTAGTTTATTTACACTTCGTATCTTATTTTATTCATGATGGTTGTTTTTAACAACTTGTTAAAGAGAAAGCTTGTTGTGAATATTTTTACCTCATTATAAACATTGTGTGATTATTTTATAGCAATCGGATACCATTAAAGAGGATGGTAGTGCCTCACCAGAATATCAACCAACATCACCAAAACAGACTATACAGACAGTTGTTGGTGAGTATAAGTTTACTCAAATACTATAATGCACATTATAATGAAAAGAGGGTATTGTAAAACCTGTAATTTGAATTGCCATCTCTCTAATATATCAACAATAGAAAATAATTTGTGAATTGACAAATTTGCCCTGATCTGTAAAGTTTTGGCAAGAAATTATTGTTTCACATTCAATTTTTCATCCTATTTTCAGACATAAAAAGATATAAAAGTGCCACACAAAACTAAAAAAATACCCAAATTGCCTGAAAAAGATTGAAAAGATTTAAAAAGACACATAACATGTTTATGTTCAGACCTTTCAGGTCAGGCTTTGATAAAAGATTTCAGTTGTAAATACATAACTAGTGCTATATCTTGGTTTGTAATATAATATCATACTAAGTATATATATATACTATGACTTACAGGTGGTTTAACAGCACAGGAGATAGAAGATCATATTATATCTAGACCATCCATGCCAGCTCCTACGGTGAGTAAAATAATCGTATTATATCTGGACCATCAATGCCAGCTCCTACGGTGAATAAAATAATCGTATTATATCTAGACTATCAATGCCAGCTCTTACGGTGAGTAAAATAATTGTATTATATCTAGACCATCAATGCAAGCTTATACGGTGAGTAAAATAATCACATTATATCTAGACCATTAATGCCAGCTCCTACATTGAGTAAAATAATCATATTATATCTAGACTATCAATGCCAGCAATTACAGTGAGTAAAAATAATCACATTATGTCTAGACCATCAATGCCAGGTCCTATGGCGAGTAAAATAATCATATTATATCTGGACCATCAATGCCAGCTCCTACAGTGAGTAAAATAATCATAATATATCTAGACCATCAATGCCAGCTCCTAAGGTGATTAAAATAATCATATTATATCTAGACCATCAATGCCAGCTCCTATGGTGAGTAAAATAATCACACATTATATTTAGACCCTCCATGCCAGCTCCTCTGGTGAGTAAAATTATCATAATATATCTATACCATCAATGCCAGCTCCTACGGTGAGTAAAATAATCATATTATATCTTGACCATCAATGCCAGGTCCTACGGTGAGTAAAATAATCATATTATATCTATACCATCAATGCCAGCTCCTACAGTGAGTAAAAAAGCAAGAAAATCAAATTTATTCAAATGCATAGTGTTTGCTGTGTAATGCAACATTAACACTAAGGTATAGAAATGATGCTTGTCTAATGAAACATTATCACAATTATTTAGGGATGTGAAGTTTCTAATTAACTGTTCTAAAGGTAGATTAGGTTTCATTCCGTAAATGTGTGTTTTCTGAATTAGTTTTGCCTGAAATGTATACTTTCATTAATAAGACAGAACGTTGAGAAAAAAATTCATGTTACTATCAGAGAGGCTGTTAAAATTAGGTAACCAAGAGTGTTTTATGACACGAATGTACAATTCAATTGAACTGAGTGAAATGTATTTTATTGCAGGTGCGATATAAATGACATATATGCAAACATTATAATTGTTCATGAGTTGATTTTTTCAGTTGACGATATTGTTAATTACTACTTTACAGCTTCCTGTGAAAAGAGGAATAAAGATATTCAAACTTGGAGCCATTACACAGCCACTAGATAGAGATCGGTTAGATAACATGACTGCTAGTGCCTTTAAAAGAATACTTAAAGCTGAGAGTGAGTTTATTAAGAATGAAAATCAGTGAAATTTATATTGAACATGGTGATTTTATGTGTTCTGTATATTATAAGAGCCTTTAGACATTTTTACTTTTTATTTCAAAGAAGATGTTTTTATTGCGAACCAAATGAAAGTCTTCCAAAGAGTTGTCTGTTCTTGACCAGGGTATTTAAACTTTTGTCTATTCTCTTGTCCTATTGAATAAATACAATAGCTATTGTTCTCTGTGTAGTTTTTTTCACTGGGACCTTTGAATTTCTTCTAGGAGAAATCTATCACTCATTGATTAATTTACCTGACCAAAAAATTATCTTCTTTTTTGGGGGAAATAGTTGTATACAATATTGTATTTAATCAATATTAATAATATATTTTCAATCTGTTCAATATAAACACTGATTTAATTATAAAAAGTTTATTTCTGACAAAATGTTTAGTATTGTTCCAATGAATTTGCATGTTTTTGTTGTTGTTCAGTTATAGAATACATTTATCAAGACCTTAATTTAAACACAATAATTTTCAAGTTTTTATTTGTCAAACACACAAAAA